GCGCGGTTAGCAGCAGATAGTGCTAAATGTCAGAGGAAATAGAATAAATGCAAAACTGGAAACAAAATCAGCTCAAAATACATTTCCCATCTCTGCAAACGAACAAAGCAAACGAACAAGTCGTCCGGCCGCGGGGTCATCGGTACCTACCGTTTCAAAAATCGCAATGCGTTCTCCACTCGTCTGCGCCATTCAACGTAAGATGCGGCGCGACGCATTAGCCCCTGTTCGATACCCTCTCGACGGATCTCGGCGCATCTGATACGCCTAAATGAAGCAAGAATTGACCAATCACGACTCCCACAGTGGTCTGATGACGTCATACAACTCCCAGATTTGCAAACCCCCAAATCTTCTCCACATGCACATTCAAGGCAATAACGGCAATAAAAGCCGGTGTCAAACCTCCTATTGCACCTGTTGTGCTGCCGAAATAGCGCATCCAGGCCGCCAGTGGGCAATGCTCGCAGCCGGTTACGCATGGCGGTAACCCCACCAGTATCCCGGGGTCGTAATTAAGGGGGTGGTGGCTGGTACCAGTGGGTAAATGCCCCGCCGCCCTAGGCCCCAATTGGAGGGTTGGCCGGAGGTGGCATTAGCGGCCCGGCTCACAGGGCCGGGCCCTCAAATGCTGGATAACCCAGGGGGCTTTGCGCCATCGCCAGGTAATCCAGAGGGCCTTGTCTCAGGAGACACATGAGAAAATAATTATAGGTATTCCGAATTTAGACCGGAATGGAAAATCCGACTGCGAACCAGGGACGGAGGAGGGGAGCGGGTAAGACGCGTTAACAGGATCGGAGGCAGGGCAGACAAGCGGAGGGACAGAACTAGCAGATATATGGATCTGAGGAAACGGCAGGCGTATCATAATAATGCCGGCGCCGAGACTGGTAACAAAAACTTCAAACATTAAACTTGGTGGAGAAGATTCAAATCTGGTCAAGCCTCTGGGACTCAGACCCCAAAACCATCTCTGAACGGATGATCTTCTCATAAGAAACGATTTCAAAACGTGATTCGAATTTGCCGAACGGCGCGCGGGTGAGAAGGGATGGTGAGAAGAGAATATGCGCCCGATAATTCCGATCGAGATGAATCACAGCTACCCATGTAAATAGGGTGAATTATCACGGTCCTCATGGTCAGGGACCCTAGCACAATTTACGACAGAGATACCGTTCTTTGAGAAAAGGGGACTTTTGGTGGCATGAAAAACTCAAATTTATTTCATTTTCATGTAAGCCTGAAAAGTTGGGCCAGCTTGTCGTACCTATATTTTAAGATGCTCCTTTAAGACGCGCTCGGGTGGGGGTCAAATTGAACCCCCCAAAGGTTTTTTCCAGAATGTTTTCGAACGACACGGGGCAGCCGCGCCAAATTTTGCATAGCTGTATACAATTGAATAGGGGATCGTTTGGAATCAAAAATTTACATGCACCTTGTAAGATCGCCGACCTACGGCAAGTCAAAGTCAGGCTATGGTTTCAGCGAAGGCAATTTCTAAGGAATCCTTTAATCTAATCCAACAACGGAGTGTTAGACAAAGCCATTCATCTCTGAGATGCTTTCTTAGGCGATACAGCAGTTGAATGAGCAAATTACATAAACCTAAGGTCAGGTATGAAGGTCACACCACGGCCAGAGGCAACCTGCTTTGTTACTGTAGGGCTTGCTGTGTGGGATAGTTTATGGTGCTCATTTTGACTTTATTGATAGCAGGAACCGCATTATGCATCTTCCATGGACGTCTTAGAGGTCAGAATAGGTCATCGACCTAAAATGACCCAGGTCAAACCCTTTGTTTTAGGAACATACTGCCTAGCGCAATCTTGGTCGCTTAGTCAAATGCAAAACTCAGAGCAATCTTGTATGATTTTGGTCACATTGACCTTCAAAGGGTCAAGAAAGGTCACTGACCTTGAACGAGGATGTGACTTTTTGCTTGGAAACGGTTATCTAGGTTCTGGGGCCACTTTGGAGACCAGCCTGGAACTTCGAACTTGTTTGATCTTTTTGACCTGAAGATCATGAGCTAGGAACCTGAAACTTTGACCTCAGTGAGTTCACGTACCGATCAATACACCTTGTAAATTTGATGTCTCTAGCTTTCTTGGTTCCCGAGATCTTAGGGCGGTCAAATTGACCCTTCCCCCCCCCCCCCCCCCAGCCGAGCGAAGGGTATCTAGCCGGCCACCCGGGTGAGTGTTAACTTTGGGACGTCTAAAAAATATAGGCTATGTGGATCTAAAATGAGGATTTCGGTGCCCCTTCATCACGAGATTTTGGTGCCCCTTCGGCCCAAGGAGGGCCATGGGCCCATTCCCCTTCTGGATCAGTCACAACACAGCGTATCTTTAAAATACGGTGGCAAGCTTGTTCAGGCCATGCGTAGCACATCTAATCACGCAGCAACTGCCCAGGAATAATTCCGGCACTATCTTGATATGATTTTATTTTTGATTGATAATTAGCCTATAGGAAAAGCTAATTACCCAAGCAAAGTTCCCTATGGTAAATGCATGCCATATGACACAACGATTCGCACAAAGGTATGTTACAACGCCAATGCTATCCAGGATCATATCATTGATTCACTGTGCCATAAATTGATCTATAGAAAGGCGTAAACGACATATGTCAAGATTCTGTAATGTGTTCCGAACAGCGTCGCTCACGTTTTATACGAATTTGCGTGTTATATAACTTGATTAGTGCATTTGTGAGAACATTATTAACCTAGTAAGACCGTAGTAAAAGCCTTATTCCCTCGGAGAAAAACCAGGATAATAGAGATATAGATGCGTTGGTATCCCGGTAACATGACTTATCAAAACGGACAGCAAAGGCCCCTCTGCTATTCTATGAATGGTGCGAAAAGCTCTTCTGCTATTTGTTTCGATTAAGACATGCTGCCGACATGTCGACGCATCTATATCTCCATTTTCCTGGTTTTTATCCGAGGACTGGTGTGTTTTCAGATCTAACATTCTTCTGCATGCTTTCATTTATTTATTCGGTAGTACCTAATAGCTTGCATGCTTCGTGGCAACCGTGTGTCGCGGTGGCGAGGGTTATCCGCGTTTAACAGGATACCATGCCAACCAAAGATGTTGCAACTATGTGCACGCGTGCACGAGCCGGAGATGGAACTCCATGCAAGTCACTGAAGGGGGCACATTAGGATTCAAAGACATTCCTGTTGCACAGCGTTCAGCAGCAGCAATACCACATGTACAAGTTTACAGCATGAATGGTGCGGGGTATGGAAGAGTATCGAGACCCTCCAGAGATCAGTGTGCAAAGTCTCCCAGGCAAATACGCGAGAGCCGGACGGATGCGCCTACAATGAGCGCGGACTACAAATGATGCAGTTGCGTTAGTGCTATATGTTTTCGGAACAACAATTGCGCCATGTTTGGCTTTATTGTGCTAGTTAAGTGCTCACATGTGAACGCGTCTATTTGTTATAACAAAATTGGGCAGATGACGTGAACTTTGCCGCGCATATAGTCGCACCAGTGCGGCGGTGGAATTTTTAAGTTAAAATGCTAGGAATGCATTGTTTGTTGTGTGCACTCACCCGACGTAACACCATAAGCCGGCATCCAGCGCTCTGAGATTTTGGGGTTGCATCTGCATCCTTAGTCAACAGTTCAGCTTCACCTTTAACAACCGGACGATGAAGTACATGGCTGGATTTAACACAATGGAGGTAACACAACATATGTGTGACGAAATACCATCAACATTCTTTAGCACGTCATGTCTACTGAGTGTCTAGCTTGAGCAGCTGGGGGGGGGGGGGGGGAGAGAAGGGGGACCCCGAACGGGGTCGTGCACACCTCGGTTGGCAACAATACGACGGTTGTGGAGTACCGGGTGCGGCGTCATTGGTGACCCTTCCTTCTTCACAACGCAGAAATGTTGTTCGGGATGTATCGCAAACAAAAATGAAACTGTTAGTTGTGTATTGTGCACTTCAGTACGTTATACTAGAGGACTGTTGGCCTGGTGTTTTATTTTCTAGTTTCGACAAAACGCGAGGTAATTCGCAAGTGATGCCACGACTGTATTCGTGTGGTTTCATTTGCTTTTCTTTTTGAAACGAATTAGCCGATTTTGTCCGTTCACTTCTGGATAATGAGTTTGTTCGGTTATCATACGATGTCGCTGATATGCGGAATGATAGCGCCCGGTAAAACTGCCGTCAATCTGTATTGTTCGTCGCTGCACTGGGAACACGTACGGGCGCAACCAGCCTCTCATGTGTATGTGGTAAATGATCATACAGTCGATTCAAAACTTAAGATTTGCCTCAGCTAAACCGCAGTAAGCGTGGTTTACATGCGTAATTCATCAGCTTTCATACACAACTAATCGGTTTGGAAGCGGCGATCTGAACCACGTACAGCGAGGCGTGCACACATTTGGCTGCATCATATTACAAAGAATATTGGCACTGGCATCTACCGTGTTACTGCCTTGAGCAGCCAGAATAAACAGGCGTGAAAAAAAGAACTAAAGAACACGACTCAGTATTCATTTCTCACGCGCGACCCAGCCGCCCGCCCGTGTTTTGCCACAGATGCTGACCCCTGCTATGGAGATGACACCCCAGAAGAAAAAGTACGACATGCACAATAAGACGGAAGACAACCGGACCAAGCAGGCGGGGACTCAAGATGGCTGCTCCTTTTGAAAACCATCAAATACGCAGCACTTCCTGAATTTTTGCGTACAACAATGGGGGCTGTTCATCAAATCTCGACGGCATATTAATCAAGACATCGACGAGCACCGGTTCATCGCCTTCGATAGTCATCAGCACAGCCGCATACGTCCGCGGCCGCATGACCATCGACGTAACACCGTGCCACGGTCTGCCTCACATCATCACACACTCTGCGCGCGAATCCCCCCCCCCCCCCTCCCCCAAGCACACACATCATCGAAAACCGCAGCCTAAATCACAGACCATGCCTCTAGCGGAGCCCTTCTCAGCCGCGCACTTGACCCCCTGGCGGGGCGCGCTGCGTTCACACGTTGAGCGCGGCGACGCCCAGGCGGCGCCACCGGTCGCGCGTGACGGCGCGCCACTGGAAGGCGTCCGCGCCGGCCAGCACGCAGGCGCCCAGGTAAGCCGCGTGCTGCCGGTATGGCGAGGCGTGCACCTGCCGGCAGAGCATGGCCCGCGTTCACAACAGAGCCAGCTCCTGCTCGTCAGCTCGTGGGGGATCTCAGGCCAGTCATTCGGTTGTCCTGAGTGCGTAGGCTGTAGATACAGATTTAAATTCGATTCTGCATTCCTTTTCGGAACAGCTTGATATCAACTGCGGCATGTATTGAGGCTTGTGCAAGGGAGGATTACAGTTTGCATGGAATAAGTCATCACAAACCATCCATCCAGTCATACCGTACGGTAAACCACTCGGTAGGGGGGATAACACCAAACACTTATGAGTTCCAAGCTAACAGAGCAAAGGTGGACCTCTGTACTGCTCGAGAGCTCGAGAGTACGAGCGTCGTGCTGTTCTCGACTAGAGCCCCAGCTCTTCCCCTCGGCGCGCCCTGACCCACTGGCGGACACTGACCCTGGGCGTGACGGAGGGCGGACTGAGGGCGTCCAGCTCGGCTTGCAGCCGCTCAGGCCAGGCCGGCAGCAGCGTCGCCCCGCCGGCCAGGTACACCGACCGCATCAGCTGACGACGACTGTCCACGCTGCACGCCTGTCACGCACGCACGGATCGGTCAGCAGGCGACGGTGTGGCAGACCGTGCTGGACGCCGACCTCGCTAGAACGCGTTGCTGAAGGCCGGCACATTTCAGCGCCCCCGGTGAGGCGGCTGGTGCTGTGTGGCTGTCAGCACGTGTCAGCGCCCCCGGTTAGGCGGCTGGTGCTGTGTGACTGTCAGGTGACGGAGACTCTTCCAGCCACTTCAAAGCACTCTTCCACAGCCACTCTTCCAGCCACCAGAACGAGCCATTCATGGCGCGTTCAAACGCATCTACCGACTGGCGCGGATTGCCAATATGCAGTACATCTGAAACGCTCAATAACTGAGACAAATGCAGGACTAACGCTATTGTGGTGTATCAACATTTCATACCTGCACCGCTTTCTGGACTAGTTTGTGGAGTCCTTTGTGGTCGAGTCCCCAGATCTCCGGATTAAATAACCCTTCCGGGACTTGAAACCGCCCGCAGTCGAGTCCGATTTGTCTGAGACAAGAACATCAAATCGCTTCATTAATGGGAAGGCTTACACAGTTGACACAGCTCACACAATCCAGAGGGAACACAGTTCAGACCGGGATTTTTGGCCGTAACACCAGCCAACTAAACAACGGAGGGGGGGGGGGAGACATCATCATCAGACATCACCAAAAATGGTGGTAGTGCACACACACCACTACAGGTGGCAGGTGATGACGACGCATTTTGAAGACGAATGTAGCACCTCAATCCCTCTCCTTTATGACGCTGGTCGGGCACCGCACCACACCAGCGCCGCTCCATCAGCTCCGCCTTCCTGCGGCATACAGCTGCAAGCCGGACCACAACGCCGGCACATCGCACCCCAACACAGCCGGTCGCGCCGTCCGGTGACCGCTCACCGCCAGGGGGCGCTGTCGCCGAGCAGCTCGTGCACCGGCACGGCGCGCTCCAGACTGGCCGGGTCGGCGCGCCAGCGGCGCAGGTCCTCCTCGTAGCGCTCCGAGACGAAGCAGAGCCGCTGCAGCAGGTGGCGTAGCAGCAGTGTCTCGACCTCGCTGACCAGCGGCACGCGCCGCTGCAGCAGGAAGAGGCGCAGGTGGTCCAGCAGGCGGCCGCCGCCGTACGGTAGCCGCGTCGCTCCGCCGCCCACCACCGCACCTGTCGGAGTGAGCGCGTGCAGGTTAGGCTGGTGAAGCTCCCCTCCGCCATACGGGACGCTGACAGGAGTTTCCCGGGAGCGGACAGAGGCTACGGCTCAACACTACAGGTGGTGTTAACTCGTTTGGCCGTGTTAGGTCTGTACAAACTGACCGGAAATTTACTTTGATGTGCGGCAAACAGAAAGACTTGAAAAGTAATGAATAAGCAGAACTACAATACTACGCACAGCCGGGAGCAAGGCAGCTTAAAAACCAGCCCCACGAATATGAGATGTAGTCGCGCTACGCATTTCAACATCAGACCACGGAATGACACCAATGATGGGCGGCAATGGTGCTTCTCCGACAACCAGTCCGCTGCATCTTGGGACCCGCTGCCGGTCCGCCCTCACCGTTGACGATCGGCACCACGTCCATCCTGTCGCCGATGTCGACGACCACCCCGCTGGTGGCGTTGTACGCCGCCAGCGCCAGCACGCTCTGCTCCTGCACGCTAACCGCGCGCGCGCCGAACTCGTCGAACAGCAGCCCCAGGATCTGGCCGCGCGCCGCCGCGTCCAGGGCGGCCGGCAGGCTCAGCTGGACGCCGTAGTCGGTGGGGCTGACGCGTAGCTTGCGAAACGTCAGCCGCAGCAGCGCGGTCAGCGCCGGCACGTCCAGGTGGCGGCACGCTGCGCCGGCTGCCGCCCGCAACGGCCACGAGAGCACGCCGGCGGCGCGCGCCGCCGGCTGCAGCGCCGCGGCGCCGCACGCCAGCTGACGGCCGTCCCGTGACGTCACCACGGCGGCCGGGAAGAAGAGCTGCGGCAGCGCGGCTACACAGGAGAGGAGAGGTCAGGCACGATGCAGAACCGGGAGAAATACGCTCATACGGGAACGAAAGCATGGCACAAGGTACGAGGTGTAGAGAAGACGGCTTGACTGGGAGCGAGAAAGCGGTTGGAGGGGTGCGGTGGGCTGGGGGTGAGGGGGGGGGGAGGGGCGAACTGCGGGAAAGAGAAACATTTGTGGGACTTGCCGCAGTTGGCAGCTGGTAGTCAGACGTGTTGTTGGCTCACAGTTATCGCGAACCAGCTTGCCAATAGTTAAAGCTAAAAAAAGCATGTCAGAGCAGAATCCAAATGACTTGGACCCTGGCCGCCCAGTCCATGCGGGTAAGCCGCTGGACGTGATGCCGTTGAAAGGCGACCCAGTGAAGAGCGGCTATCAGAGCCCCTGCACCGCCGCAGTCAGGGACTCACGCTCGCTGAGCAGCACGCCCGCCCTGATAGCCGTGCCGCCCAGGTCGAGGACTCACGCTCGCTGAGCAGCACGCCCGCCCTGATAGCAGTGCCGCCCAGGTCGAGGACGAGGCGACGGCGGGCGGCGCTCGGTACCCGCCGGCACGGCCGCCGGCTGGACGTAGGTGGCGCTACAGTCGCCGGCCGTCTGAGAGCGCAGCGCACGCAGCCAGCAGTCGGCCTCCTCTCCGCTGGTGCAGCGCACCACCACGTACCGGCCCATCTGACGGCGCAGGAGCGCACACAACCGGCCTCAGTCCGGGCTGGGCAGAGCGACGGAGTGTGGAGGCTAGCCTAATCTCATGATAGAGTGCCGATGGCTAACAAGAGTAACGACATAGTGGTAAAGAAAGGATGCGAGCCTGATGCGGTGGTTCGGTTATATCTCCATGCGAAGCGGTTGTAGCAGGACATAAGGCATCGGGTCGCGGAAGACCTTTAATTCTGGAAACTTGGGGCTTTTTGCAACCCTGTGTAACCAAAGCGTAAGCGTTGGTTGAACAGCATTCCGCCAAACAGAATTCGCAGGAACCTTATTCAGCGATGTTGCAGCCTTTGCTGCAAAATGAGCGCGTAATGCCGTAAAAGTAAGACATCAGGTCGGAATGCTCAAGTCAGGACGGAAACCATCAGATTCTCGCACGTGGTTGCAGCGCCCGAGCGGACTTACCCCGTCATCAAGGCTCAGGATCGGCCCCGTCTGGGGCACCTGGAGCAAGGACAGTGCGTCATCCAGAGCCTGGCGAGGCGCAGCGACGCAAGCGAGCAGCAGCCGGATCGTTTGAAATGCAGAAGGTCGTGAAATGACGGCTGAATCGTTGAAATGATTACATGCAACAATGGGTCACGTTGAAGAAGTGTTGTCAGACCCTTATCTTTGAATGTGATGTACATCTCACACCGTGAAACATCACAGCATATTGAAGGGCGGGAGCAAGACTGCGTCCGCCCCGTAAACCAAGCTGACGTACCCGGCTGTCGACTCCGATAATGGAGCAGTCCATGACCTCTACGTGACCTCCCATCAGCTGCAGCACCAGGCTCGGCTGGTCCGTAGTATTGTTCTGTGGAAACACCGAGGGAGCCGACAGCGTTCAGCTCCATCACCAGGATCAACTTACTCTCGTACAAAACGGGTACAAGCGGAGAACTGGTGCTGTGCAGATACAGTTTACCGTTGACAAAGAACATAGTTTCACTACCACAAACGACATTTCCGGAGCTGACAGAAGGAAATAGCATTGATTTAATCCACTCACAGAAAGCGAACACGTTTAACCATCGCTCTGTACAGAATGACAAAGCGTCTGACAATATGAGAAACACCAATATTTATTGTATACAACGCCTTGAGCCAGTTGGTGTCATGGTGTGATGAAATCATAGCTCACCTATTGTTTTATATGATGTATTCTATACGTAAGCAAATCCCTCGGGATAAGTCATTTAATGGTGCCAATACCTGGTAATAGTAGAGGAAGCCATCCTTGGCCTTAAAGTAGCGCCGCTTCCAGGCGTTCCAGAAGGTAGCCTTCTTCCTGCCGGACGGCAGCTTTTCTAGCCAGCCCTCGATGTTGATGAAGCCCTGTTGCCCCGGCGACGTGTGGCGACAGGGGCTCGGCACCTCGTACAGCATGTCCACGAGATTTGCCTGCACGGCACCACGAACCAATGGGGAGAGGAACCAAAGCAAAACGATTCCAGATTAGTCATAGGACGTTTTTAGTATCCGCTTCAGGTAAGATTCGTACATTGGTACTCATCAGCAGGACCATTAATAGTGGACAGTGAAGACCTTCACAGATGTTAAGCATATCTAAAGTGAAGCCAACCGAGTATCTCCCAGTGGTTTTCAGTTGCGACAGGTTTACCTCAGTTATCAAATTAGCAAACGTCCTCCGGATTTCCAGTGTACACGACAAAACTCACCGGGTCCCAAGACAGAGTGCTGATCCGTAGTTTGATTTTATCCTCTTCCATATCGCTAAATTTGTCGAAGACAGTTTCCAGCGGAGCAGTGGGGCTGCAACCTTTCCTCGATTTTCGTCCCGAACTTGACAGCACTATACCATCCATCTTGTGTGCCATGACCGTTTCACCGTCTGTGACCTCTCTCTGCCCCGTATGGCCGCCTGGGGCGTCGGCATGTGACCTCCGCGGCGACGCGTTGATCGGGGCAGACTTCCCTCCGGAAGATGGCAGTCCTCCGTTGACGGCTGGCGTTTCTTGGGCCGAGGGCTTTTCAAACTGGGTTTTCAGCGCCTTGACTGACGGAAGAACGCTCCTGACCGGCGCACGGCTCTCTGCTTGCCTTGCCGGCGGCCCTGTTCCGCCGTCCTTGGCTTGAACCGTCTGCGGGAGACGAGACAGAACTAAACCCTTCACGGAGGTCACGCCTACGAGTCAGATGACACTTCTCATATCGTGTAGCCAGTTCCGTTTCAGCTCTCCAGGGCCGGCCAAACATGACGCTGGCCGGCTGAAATTTAGTGATCGGGTAGTCAAATCACAGTAAACATTAGATTACGTCACGCATCCAAAAACATGGCGTACCAGTGCTTTGGATATATCCTTATATACAAGTGCTTTTAATAGGAGCGGGGTACGCTGAATTTGTGTGAGTAGTACGTTTTAAAGATCATGACGTGCCCCTTATTAACACCTACCTCCTTGGGCCGTTTGCTTGGCTTGCGCTGCCTCATGGTCTCCGGATAGATTTCAACGCAGCGGTCCTTTTGTATTCTCTCCTCATCGTCGTCCCCTTCCACCATAGTCAGGGAGTCATCTGGAAAGATGCATGGAGGTGATCAGCAAAGCTGAAAAGTGCCAAGTCATGAGCATGCAGGCGAGCTGATGATAGGCTGGCAAGTTGTCATACATGCGGCATTCTCACAGCCCAGCAGAGTGTTCTTCTTTTTACGGGGCAATGCCATCCTCATGAAATGAATTAATAACATTACGCAAGTACTTTATACTAGACGTTAAGATCAGACCTACACCACTTAGTCAGATCACTGCCCCCGTCAACCTACACCGGGGCCAGCACACTACACACTACACACTACACACTACACCTCAGCCACCAGCGCCGACACGGAGCTGACAAGCGTCAAAAGCTCGCCAGCATGTCAGCGCCGGCCACACGCCGGCGTCAGCTCAACGTCACGCGCCGGCTGCGGCGTCGGACGCGGCCACGTCCCGATGGCTGCGGTTTGGCTAAAGAGACCGCATCCGACCGCGTAGACCGCGCTTTCTCACATTTACACGGACCACCTGCTGGCTTCCGAGGCTGCGGCCGTACGTCTGACGCGCGGCGAGTCAGCTTTAAAACGCTGCACGTGCCACGAGGAAGTGAGCCTGTGTCGTCCAGCGGCGGCCCCCATCTCCCGCCCCCCCCCCCCCTTCCGGACAACAGTGGGCGCGCCTCAGCGGGGAATGCGACACGCGCGTGACTCCTGGTGAGTCGCGTGACGCATCACGCGGCTGACAGAAGCCTCTTGAGCGGTAGCATCTTGTACGCAGTTTTGCATGACGGCATGCACTCAACGACACACATTGAACGCGTGCGTCGATGCATGGTTCAAGCGAATGCAGAATCCTACAGATACACAGCATCAGTGCTTGTAGGACCGCCGCCGGGCCGGTGGAGCCGGCGCGCCACTGACCCGGGCTGGGCTCGCCGTTGGGGAGCGCCACTGACCCGGGCTGGGCTCGCCGCTGGACGCGCCACTGACCCCCGCCGGGTTCGCCTCGGGGGCGCGCCACTGACTCCCGCTGGATTCGCCGCTGGGCGCGCCACTGACCCGGGCTAGGTTCGCCGCTGGGGCGCGCCACTGACCCGGGCTGGGTTCGCCGCTGGGGCGCGCCACTGATCCCCGCCGGGTTCGCCGCTGGGGAGCGCGGCTTACCCCCGCCGGCTTCGCCGCTGGGGCGCGCCACTGACCCCCGCCGGGTTCGTCGCTGGGGAGCGCCACTGACCCGAGCTGGGCTCACCGCTGGGGCGCGCCACTGACCCGGGCTGGGTTCGCCGCTGGGCGCGCCACTGACCCGGGCTGGGTTGGCCGCTGGGAAGCTCGCTGGAGGCGGTGGAGCCGAGGTCGCCGTCTGCTGAGCCGATCCCCTCTGAGCCGTCGAGCGAGGGTGCCGAGCGGGGACTCTGCCGCCGCCTCCTCCCCCTCCTCCTCTGAGGTGGTCACGTACTCCTCCTCCGGCTCCTCCAGGATCACCTCCAGACCTGGCCGGAGCACAGGCGGAGTTTGAAGGCACGGACGCACTTACCTGAGACATGTAATGAAGCATCCACACATAATGAAATCCCCATACAAAATTTAACCGAGGTTTTTCTGAGCCTCTATCAGTGCATGGCTTTGCGTTCAACTGATTCTCATGCAGCTTATATCAGCTCCGTGCATCTTGTAACGGTGGTTAGCACGGGCCGGTTCTGAAAAAGTGTGTCATCTTGGGCTTAGGGCAACGTGCGCCCCAAGCGGCCGATCACTGGACAAGTGCCAGAGTTGTTAGACTAGCCTGATCTTTCAATGCAGGAAACGGTCATAGCTAGCTGTATAGCATCCATATGAACACGGTAGACTTATCCATCAAGGTAGCTCACCAAATGTTTCAGGTTCAGAAGCATAAACTACCCAAACCATCGCTGTCCCATCTACACGCATGGAATATCATAGCAGCTGCATAACAGGTGCACCAAGCCACACAGACCCGGGCAGGGTACTCGGGACCGGACGCTCATTAAGCATAGCACACGCCGCGCCTGCACCAGCGCTGCAGCACGAGCTGGATCGGTCACCGGGTCACCTAGCGGGTCCGACACTGCTGGGCTATCGGGGGAACTGTACGTGACGTGTGAGTGTCCCACACAGGCGGAGGCGTCACGGGCCGAACGGCACCTGCGACCAAAAACTGAACGCGAGGCATACGTAATGCTCTCGCGGCATCGTCTTGGTCCGGCCTTAAACTGGTTGCTGGGAACAGGACGTCGATCTGATAGGGCCAGTGTTGTGCGGGACGAAAACGGGCACGTCGCCTTTGGCAGCGGCCAACAAACCGTTTGTGTCCAGATGCAGAGGGGGGGGGGGGGGGGGGCTCAGCGCCCCACCAGCAGCGGTGCTCGATCAGATGGGCTTCCGGGCCGATCACATGACTAACGGGATGCTGGTGACCACATGACCTGACGGACCCTCACCAATGCGCGACCTAGGAGCCCGCCCTCGGCCGACTGAAAGGTAGAATGTGATGTCTCGAGACAAAATTAGAACACTTTAAAACAGTTTGCATGCATTTTTATGCAAGTTTCTATCAGAAGTCTATGATTGAGAGCGTCAATGCTCTCTACCACGGGTTTATTGTCCCCACTAAAGACGTCCAACAAACCGCCAAAGTTGTCCAAAACGGCATGAATAGCATGGATGGGGATAAAAAGTATAGATGGGGTTGTTATGCATGCCAACATCCGATCACTTTCTCACCCATGCGCCAGTAGCCTGACCCGTCGGAGGGCCCGAGCGGTGCCTCACCCAAGTCGTCGTTGTAGTGGCTGCGGCTATCCGATTCTCCGAGGCCCTCGTCCAGCTGGTCGTCCAGCCGCTCGTCCAGCCGCTCCTCCGAGGTCGGCTCGTCGGCGGGTCCATGTACGTCCTCCGGGGTCACGGTCATAGTCTGCCGATGGTGGAGATGACGTGTAACTAGCTGTACGCATCTTTAAGTACTCCATATGCGTGATGATATGGACGGGGCATTCGGCTTTGGGTGCAAACGATTTTTAGGGAAAGACGGGCGAAAGAATCGTTGATACCAAAGGGTCGCAAACTTATGAGCATTAAGTAACGGGCAGTCCTGTATGCTTACACTAGCTCATGTCGCAAATTGTGCATCGCTTGGCTGGCATTGCTATTTGGCCCACGTGCTCACAAGGCCATTACATAATCCATGACCAGCTTGATGTGCAAATAGTGCAGGACGAGTGAGTCGAGTAACAACCATGTCTAGAAGGCGGGGAAGGGCAACTTTTTGCGGCCAGACCTGATGCACGGATTAATAGGACGTGAATGAATCAGCGTGCGCAAAGGAGTCGATGAAGAGATTCAAGCTTAAATGTTGCAGCGTTTCGGCTGCCTTAACACGCGCCCGGGTGGCCGACTTGATACCCTTCGCTCGGGTAGGAAGCGGGTGGAGGTCAATTTGACCCCTTGAGAACTCAGGAACTAAGGAAGCTAGATACACCAAATTCGCAGGGTGTGTTGACCTGTACGTGAACTCACTCAGGTCAAAGTTTAAGGTTCCTATGTCCTGAACTTCGGGTCAAATAAGGTCAAACAAGGTCAAATTCCAGGTTGGTCTCCGAAGTGCCCGTAGAACCTAGACAGCTGTTTCTAAGCACAATGTCACAAGCTCGTTTAAGGTCAGTGACCTTGTTTGACCTTTTGAAGATCATGTGACAAAAATCATATCAGGCTGCTCTGAGTTTTGCATTTGAATAAGCGACAAATATTACGTTCGGCAGTATGCTCCTAAAAACAAAATGTCGACCCTGGCCATCTTAGGTCAATGACCTATTCTGACCTTTGAGAAGTCCATGGAAAATGCATAAGATGGTTCCTGCTACCAATAAATTCGAAATGAGCACCAGAAACTTTCCCATACAGCAAGCCCTAGAGTAATAATGCAGGCTGGTTTTGACCTTGGTCTGACCTTCATACCTAAGCTTAGGTGAACTTAATTTGCTCATTCAATATTTGCGCTGCTTACGAAAGCGTCTCAGAGATGAATGGCTCCGTCTAACACTCAGTTGTTGCATCAGATTGAACGATGAAATTGCAACAGAATTTCCCTAGAAGTTGCCTTCGCTAAAACCATGGCCTGTCTTTGACCTGCCGTAGGTCAGCGACGTTGAAAGTTAAATCTAATTTTGATACCAAACGATTTGCGATTTAATTGTCTACAGCTTTGCAAAATTTGTCACGGCTACGCCGCGCCGCTTGGAAACCATTCTGGAAAAACCTTCGGGGGGGGGGGGAGGGGGTCAATTTGACCCCACCCAAGCGCATGCTAAATTCATTGTGTACGGTCAAACAGCTATCAGCGATTACGTCTCGTGATAGGTGCTCTGGCTTAAGATCGTGGGCCATTACTGACTAGGAGTGTCATAACAGTACATCATGAATCACGCATCTAGTCAAACTGTCCAGTTAGTGTATAAAACTGCTTGGCTTAGAGTAATCAAGTTTCCGGCATTCATAGCTCCAGAACGGAGATAAAATTGCAGTTCATGAAAGCAATCACAGTTACACTCTCCATCACGATTTCCACACAACACATAATCTTTCCATTTCAAAGGCCTTTTCCAACACACAATGCACATGCATAGAAGAGCAGCTCCTGCTTTTTTGGCTTCGGCTCGAGGACCCTCAGCGCTGTGATATAAAGCACTGACGCATCAGTGGTGGGCGATAGGGATACCGGGCCTAGTCCTGCATGCGGCCCGTCCTCAAAGTACGATAGTGGTATCGGCCCCAGGCTTGCATGCGGCCCGTGCTCAAAGTGCGATCCTGCATGAATGCTGCAGCGTAGAGAGTGATCTGTTATGGAAAACAAAGACACCTTATGAATCCAAAGACGCCTGCATTTCGTGCAAATTAAGATAAGCATGACCTTTGATCGGTCTTTTTCTTGACATCAAAATAAGTTAAAGACGTGGAACAAGTTCTATCTTTTTCTAATCGACCCATTGCACAAAGGTGTCAGTGCCTGTTAACTGCTCCATATTACCACACGCTGTCTTAATAGGTCGTGGCTTGTTTCGCAAGGCACCGTGGCATACCACCTCGTACGTGTCGGACACAGAGCAAAGGCCATACCCAATGACCACACATTACTCCTGGTGCCAACATGTCCGCACAGAACACCGACTTTACGGCGCACGCCGTGGGCCGCTGGCCAGCCGGGCGCTTCATGTCGCCCGCCTGCGGCGCTGCCGCCGGGTGGCGGCGGCCACTGCGCTCTGGCCTCATCTCCGCCGAGCTGGTCTCCTGCACCAGTTCTGCGACCAACAGTGAGGGCGGCACGGCCAGCGGGCGCCCGCGCGCCGCTAATTGGTTGTAACGGTGTTCGCTGTGTGCGCGAGCGGTCCTGGTCTCGAAAACTCAGATTATCCGCAGAGGCGGAATTGGTCAGGAAAGAGCGCTGAACGATACATGGAGGGTGGGAGAGAAAGGCCGGAAAGCCTCGGAGAAAAGGGGAAGAAATGTGCACCTGAGGGGGAGGGGAGGTAATAACTGCCACATCATGGTGCCGTTGGAACCAGAGGTCCAGGGTTCGATTCCCCGCGGTGCCCGCCTTTCGTACCAGGGTGAGAGGCAGGCGACCCCATACAGCCTCAGCAGCTGAGTGCGTCGCGAAGACCCAATGACGACCAATGGCCATGCCACCGCTGTAGGATAGCACGAATACGAGGGAGGTCTTGAGACGCTGCTTAAATGCGAAGGCAAATTCAGTATTCACAGGTTCGAACCAAGTGTTTCAGCTGGGCAAAGTCAGAAGCATACGTCTCTTCACACCACGACACGCTACTTCATATGTCATCTCATCTCTCTATGACTTTTCTGACTGACTTTTGCCTTATGCCTTTGTAATTATGTATGTAATTTGTATGTAATTACAGTGTAATTCATCTTATGACTTATCTTTTCATTCAACTTTTTATGAGAAGTTCGGTACTACGGCAATATTTTGCATGACGCATGCGAGATGTGCTGTTAATATCCACGATACACATTTCATCATGCTACCATTTGATACTTTAGGGAACAGGGACCAAATTTTAGAATGTGTCCACGCATCGAGACCTCGTCGAGGGTAATGAGCAAAAGCATGATCCATCGACAAATGATGACGTCAGAGCTTTCTCATTTAGGACATAATATCGGTAGTTTTCCATCAAGCATAGTTTAAAAAATAGTGCAACTCCTCAGCAGGTAAGTGCACTTCACGGACCAAAGTGTAGTGCCTAACGCAGGGTTAAATCAAAAACATGCGAGTGCGGCCCGTTTGGAAGTCGCCATTTCCACAGCCACCGCTTCACCCCAGCTTACC